CATCGGTCGATCTGTTGAGGAGCATGTTAATCGATGGCTGTTTCTCCGTGTCGGTCGATACGCGTGCTTCTTGCTGGATTGCAGGTTGTAGTGGTGTTATATCCACTGCAAACCTCTCATGGTAACTGCTTGCCCAACTTCCAATCGAGTAATCTCCGTCGTGTGGCTCATGTGGGACATAGACTGGTGCACAGTAGGGGTTGTCGCTCGTTGATTCGAAACGTCGTTTGAGCGATCTGGGTTGGGGCATATCGGTCGATGGAGAAGGGTCTCTATCGGTCAATGCTCTATGGATGAAGCCCGGCAGAGGAGGTTTTTCTTCATCTTCCCGAAGAAATCTTTACTCTGTGGCTCGTTCCTCTTCATAATCTTCATCATACTCCTCCTGAGTAGTTATGCTAGCTAGCTCTGGCATGTAATGATCGTTCTCCCAATCATCAGCACTAAAATCTCTGTCGGGAAACTCGTCTTCGATCTGTTGGAATACCATATCGATCGATGACCATGTCTGTCTATCGGTCGACTCGGGTTGACTGGTATCGGGCGATGGTAGAAGACTGCCATCGGTCGATACTGCTGGATCGGTTTCGTACTCGGCCATGGAATCATACTCGTGGGCACATAAACAAATTGCTACGAGTGCTGAGCTCTTTATCCTTGGAAACTTGATGACTGGAACAAGATTGTAGTGGATGGTAGGGTCAATTAGCGTTAGGCGGAGCTTGTTAGATTTCAGGTCACAAACAGCTCCAACGGTGGCTAAGAAGGCTCTTCCAAGTAATAGAGATGTCTTGAAGTTGAGTTTGTTGGCCATGACATGGAAGTCTGTAGGAATTAGGGCATCTCCAATCTGTACCTCAAGGTTTCTAACTATTCCTCCAGAATTCTGCTGAGAACAATCCACAAAGAAGAAAGATTCTTTAGTAGGCTCTATCTTCAGACCTAGCTGGTCTGCCATAGGCTTGGGTAGGATGCTAACTTCAGATCATGTGTCGCATAGAGCACAAGGAAACTCAACACCTCTGATGGAACATGGTATTGTGAACTTCCCTGGATCTCTCTTCTTCTCCAGTGTGATCTTCTTCTTTAGACTGTCTCTGACTTGGTGAAACATTCTTTTGATGTCTTCTTCTGTCTCTCTGGTCTCTCTGAAAAACATCCACAATCTGTGTGAAAAGTAGGCTTCTTCAAAGGGTTTCTCTCTAGGTATTCTCAGAACTCTCTTTCTGAAGCTTGACAATTCTTTCTCATTAGCTTCCCTTTTATAAGGCTTGGGTATCTTCTCTTTCCTTTTTCTGAGAACTCTTCTATGATTTTCCTTTTCTATCTCCATAGACTCAAAGATATCTGTGGCCCTCTCCATGATGGCTTTTCGAGGGCTTCTGGAAGTGTAATACTGCTCCCGGAATGCGTCAATACGTGCACTATCTATCTTTGGAAGTTGCACTCGGCGTTGGGGTACCGTGTATCGGGCCACACTGACTGGAGTGCGTCGGTCAATATCTAGGTCTTCCTGTCGATCGATGGGAGGGTCATCATGTCGATCGATGTCATGCGGATCGATCTTGACAGGGACGGGCAGATGTGGGTGTCGTGCTGCGAAGGCTTCGTGTGGCATAATCTTGACGGCACTGCACTCGTGAGGGTATTCGTCTAAGTCCATCGATCGACACTCAGCAAAATCTATCGATTGATGTACACTGGATCGTATCGGTCGATGTTCACAGGATGAAATCGATCGATAATAGTCGAGTCTGAAGTCTCGCTCATCATCAGATCTTTGAATCTCTTCTACTACCTCTTGCCAAAAGTCATCATCCAGGATGGCATTGATGTTATGGGTTTTGTCAAACTCCTGCTTCTTTAGTGCTTCTCCTGTCTGAAACACCTGAGTCTCTAGTTTCTTCAAATGGGTGTTTAAAGCATCTAGCTTTGTAGTGAGGGTGTTGTAGACAGAGTCAATCTTCCCATTGAAGTCTGTCTGGAGTTTCTGCTAACTCTCAAGAACCTTGTCTAGCATCTCCTCCTGTTTACTTTCTTGGGTGGGTGGGTGTGGGTTTGAGTAGAATGAGTTCCCATAGCTTCTGTTGTTGTTGGGGTTGTTGCTGCTGAAGTTGTTAGGCTTCTGTGAACTCTGGTTGAAGTTGCTTATCTGGCCTGTGAAGTTTTTGTATCCTCCTTGGTTACCAGACCTCTAAAAACCAGCTATACTGATCCAGTTCACATCTTCTTCTGTATAATCTTCACCTGCAGTGTCTGCATCCTCCACTGAGCGAATCTGCTTGTTTAGTAACTTCTGAACGGTATCCAGCTGTGCTTGCACTTCATTGATGTATTCCTTCTCAAGGAATGATGTAGCTTTTGTTTTCACAAAGTTCTTTGTGCTGTTGCTTGAAGCTAAGTTATCAATTAACTTCACAGCCTCTTGTGGATTCCTGGTGTTGAAGTTACCGTCACTAGCTGTATCAAGAGCCCTTTGATAATCCAAAGTGATGCCTATGTAGAAAGTGCAAAGCAGTTGCACTTTGTTGAATTCGTGGTGTGGACAATCTCGTTGGTAGGACTTGAATCTGTTCCATGCATCTTTGAATGACTCTTCGGGATTCTGAGTGAATGTAGCAATCTTTCTCCTCCATTCTTCAGCGCGTGACTCATCAAAAAAATTACGCAGGAATGCGTTTTTGATGTCGCTCCAAGTTGTGAGAGAACCTGGTGGTAGTTGTCTCAGCCACTGCAAAGCTTCTCCAGATAGAGAGAATTTGAAAAGCTTGCAGAGAAGATAGTCTTGAGGGACTCTATTGGCTTTTATGATGGTTATGAGATCCTCGAACCTCTCCAGATGGTCCATAGGATGCTCATGGGACAACCCATAGAAGGGTATTTGTCCTACAAGTGTGTCGTACTGCGACTTAAGCTCGAAATCTCCTCTCTGAATAGCAGAAGGGCGGATGGCTGATCGGTTGGAATAGAACTGATCCGGACAGTTGTAGTCAGCCAAAGTTCTAGCTTGGTTAGCCTCTTCTATAGGTTGAATGATGTCTATAGGTGCAGTTTCTTGCTCATGAATGATCTCCTTCTGAGCGTTCAGCTTCTGACCTGCTGCAATACGCAGGTGACCATCTCGATCACGCAGGTCTCCATTCTCATCGGTAGTGAGAATAATTGGTGCTACCATGTCTCGCCGGTTAGTATCGATCGATGTAAGGTAAGGTGTATCGATCGACGTCGGATGAAGGGCATCGGTCGACGAACGGTTTTTGATGTCGAGCGATGTGACGGTGAGAGTAACGGTCGACGTTGAAGGTGTCTCGGTCGACTGTGGTAGGCAATTATCGGTCGAAAAAGAGGTGTTGATGTCGATCTATGCGGAACGTACGTCTTTGCGGATGCTACATTCCAAGCTGTGAGGGTCTTCTGAGTATACAAGTTGTTTGTTCTTGTTGCTTCTAGTTTTGCTGGGCATGTACCTGAAAAAGACAAGAATTTTTTTTTTGCGTCAGAAGATGATTAAGCAGTAACAAGTAACCTAGACCAAATCAGATTAAATCTCATGGCTATCAAAGTTCCCCAGAAACGGCGCCTAATTTGATATCACTCAAATATTTAACCCTAAGAAGTGAATTACTCTCTCAAATAAGAAGTTCAGTTGTAGTACTTAGGGATCGAATCCACAAGGAACTGAGGAACACAAAAGATGTAATCCTAAGTGATTATGCTAGGTTGATTCAGTTTAAAATAGTAAATTGCAGTTGTGAGCAATGATAAGTGCTCAAGAGAATATGTTTACGTTTTAAAACAATAAAAGAAAGTAGTTAGATTCAATGTTGCTTTTCAGATAATCAGGATTATAATGCTACAGATGTTTTAGTAAGTTGCTTGCAAGATATATAAGAACTTCGATTCTTAGACAGATCCAATAGCAGTCGCTATATAGACTCATCCATTGATCTGACTGCCGGCAATATGGACAGATGTTTTGACAGCGATATCGGACGATATGGGTTGATGTCGATCGATTACCCTGTAGGAGTATCGATCGATATAGCATAAGATCGAATCGAAACTGTGTCACCAAGATCATAGACCGGCTCTCGCGCATCCCTAGAGGATCGAAGCTTATGCCAAATGATTTCTGGATAATGATCAACAAGTTAAATCACTCCATGATCATACTCTATTTAGCTACTCTAGAGTAAGCATTAGGGTTCATCTGGATAATGAATATCACAACTTAACATTCCATAGTTGGGGCTAATCCCTCATAACTATTTGAACCCTAAATCTAACAAAAGAATCTACTCAGACATGGCTAAGTGATTCATAGCAGCAAGGTAATAATAGAAATTCATAAGATTAGAAGATTGATCTCTTGGTTCTTTGGAACAACAAATCTCTTTGTGTGTTCCTTCTAAATCTAGAAATCTATAACCTTTGAGAATTGAGATGAAAATGATACTTTATTGCTAAGTATACAATAGTATCAAAAGCACAAAACAATAAAAAGCATACAAAGCACAAAAAGCATGCTTTGCCAAAACACATAGGCATAACTATAAATATGAGTTCAATTAGGTTAAAAACTCGTCAGGGGCAATCTTGTAATATTGGGAAAACATGGGCTTCAAGTCAAACTTGTTCTTCACGCTTCATATCGATCGATGGCACATGGCGTACATCGATCGATGAAGTATCTCGACTTCATCTTCTATGGAAACGTCATCGATAAATTACACAGGATGTGTATCGATCGATATGTATATCTGGATATCGACCTTATTGTCTGATCTTCATAGTCATCTCGGAAAACTCTCATTTAAGCTCCATAAGGGCACCTAAATCATCATTTTACTCTAAAATGTTCCTGAACCTGAAAACATAGCTAATAGACTCCAAAACACACATATATATATATATATATATATATATATATATATATATTATAAAAACATATAAATACTATAGCTAAAAATGGGTCAAAACCATGGTATATCAAGCCTCAATCATAAGAATTGGGTTATTGGGAATTTTCGTATCAACTGATCTCTTTCTCAAAGGAGAAACCTCATCGTGACGTTCCATTTCAGTAAGCTCGTCCCCCAAAACATCATCACTCTGTAGAGTCATGAGTTCATTACCCACAATTTCCTCTTGCATCTCGTCATCATCTTGGTGATCCTCATCACTAAGAGCCCCTATTTTGAGGTCATCGGAAGGAGGAATAAGGTCCTCGGCATCGACCATTTGTTGGTCTTTTATGACCTCTTTATTCTTCAATACCGGCTGGAATGTAACATGCCCATCATATTAAGCACGAGCACTCGATGACGTTTATACATTGTTCGCTTTGGAAGGAAAAGATCCAACCTCCTTATGCATTTGCTTACTACCTAAACGGTCTGATTCCAGCACTGAGCCTGATTCTGTAGACTTTGCCTTTTCATCTCTTATCTTCAATGGCTTATAGGCCTTGTCCTTCCACATCCTTTCATTCTCTATATTATCCTTCCTAACATAGGCATAGGGGTTGTTTCTTTTTCCCACTGAGCGATCATGGCGTTTATCCTGACCCTTATAAGGTTTAGAATAGTTTCCTTTCAGACCATCAGAATCTGTTCTAGAAGAGTAACTCGATCGATGGACCCGATTTTGATAGCTTGTACGTTCAGTAGTTTCTATCGCTGATCCTCCTTCCATGCTGCGCTTCGGTACATCCTTAGAGCTTCCCACATGATGTTTATTTGGCATCATCCCTCCTCTTGAGCTAGGCTCATCCTTCCGCATACGATCGAATACAGATTTCCCATGAGTGTCCGTAGCGGAGGCATTCTTAAGACAATATGAGTTCTCATATTTCATAAGACCACAGTGTACAGTGCTTGAACAATTTCTCATAATGCAGCTTGACTGATATGTCTTCCCCTGCTCGTGTCTGTAACTTCCGTGTAAATTTCAGTGGCTTCGTTGAATCTATTTCAACTTGGATCTTTCCTTCTGTAGCGTCTATATCTCCCACCTTCCCAAGTTTATCTCCAATAGCTTGGAGATTTCTGTCCATGCTAAGACGGAGGGGAATACCTTGGAGATGAATCCAAAAGGGAATCCTTGATGGGTATTCTTCTGCAACGATTGGTTCCCATTTCACAAGGACAAACATACATAAGTTGTGATGAAAAGGTCCTTGGATTAAAACAGAGTTGAGATCATCTTCATTATCAAAATTAAAGAGAAACCGCCCATTTCCAAGATCACAAGCCGTAATTGTTTCCGTCATCCCCCACTGCTCGGGCATTGCAACAATGAGGCGGTCAACCTTTGTTTCTTTGGGTTTAGGATCTTGCCAATAAGAGACAATCTGTACTCTTGTATGAGGTTTTCATCCTCTTGATCCGGTAACTGAATTGGTTCATCATCATCTTCTTCAGTAAAAGGCTTAAGATTTCTGTTTGTTGCCATACGAGTAGACAAAGACCAATCCAGAGTTAATCTTGACCTGAAAAGGAGGGTAGCAGATCGTTGCAATATACAGCAGATCGGGGAGAAGTGCATGTGAATAAATAAGATATCACAGCAATGAATGAAAGAGTGAGATCGATCCGTTGCGTGCACATAAAGGAAACAAATGATGATCACAACTTTGAGACTGGTTGACAATGATCACCCCAGTACCTTCTTCAGATTAATCACCAACGAATGAGATGTATCAAAGTAATTCAGATCCCAAGAGAGAAGATCATCGCTACACCGTAGATCTGTGATGTGTATCAAACTTAGACCTTGAGAGTGTCCTTAGATAAGAATTGATGCGGGGATTCTGTGATGAATTCGTAGATCAGAACTGATGACCTTGGGAGAAGGCTAATCGTACGTTGAAGAACATAAGATCAGGAGGAGATCATAATCCCAACGAGGATCATGATCTGATAATCGCCGTCTTGGTCGCCACTCTTCTGCTTCGGTTTTCCTTTTCCTTTTCCCACCACTCTAAGAATGATTCATTCCTACCTTTGATATAAATTTAAAAAAGTAGAGTACTTGCATGTTAAAAAAAATAACTATGCAATCATTTAAAAACATTGAAAGAAATTTTGTAGTGCTAGAACTTATATATAGTGATTTATGTGATTTTCATGCTACACCTTCTTTAAAAGAAACAAGAAATATATTGTTATATTCGTAGATGACTATTCTCATTTATGTTATATGTATTTATTATATGCTAAAGATAGAATTTAGATAAATTTAAGATTTATAAAACTAAGGTTGATGGTTTGATTACAAAGTTACATTCAAATGGTTGGAATAGATGTGATTCAAGAAGTTAAGTTCAAATAATTAAAAGTGCATGTGTAATGCAATTTAAATATATGAATAATTTAATGAAAACAATACGGACACTATTGTTACATAATATTTTATACTGTATTCGCTTTTTTTTTTCATTATTTATTAATGAATATCACAATCTTTTCTTGTAACATTTAGAGAATACAAAACTTATTATTTTTAAGTAATCAAATAGATGAACATTCTCAAAACTTAAAATTTTATAGTTTGCCTAAAAAAGCTAAATTTGTTTTGTCTAACCACATATTGTGTTAGTCATTTTAGATTTTCATTGTGTTAGTTAGATGAAATAATATATGAAATATATAATATATTTAGTTGTTTTGAAGACCTAATTTACATATTATAGGTAAATTAGAACATTTACTTTAAAAGCATTAGATTATTAATTTTTAAATATAATAATAAATTAATTTTAAAAGGATTACTTTATTTCATCTAACCACATATTGTGTTAGTCATGTTGGATTTTTATTGTGTTAGTTAGATGAAATAATATATGCAATATATAACATATTTAAAGCTTATGAAGACTTAATTTACATATTATCTATAAGATTAGAATATTTACCCAGACCACTTCAAGCTTGAGTAATATATCAGCCTTTCAATGCAAAAAAAAAAAAAATTAACTTTGTCATTTTTAAATATAATAATAGAATCTCCTAAAACTCCATCTACCATTTTATCTTAAATCGTTGGCTAAAATTTATGTTAAAACATCAAAAAAATTAAAATGTAAATTATATTACAAATAATATTATTTTCTTTATAAAATATTCATACAAGAAGATACTCTACCATCTTTGCACCTTAGAGATTTCCAACTCATCTCTAACTTTTTTACAAATGTTATTATAGATAAAAACCTTCTATAGTCCAACTTTATATTTTACTCCAAAATAGAATTGTATTATCTTTATATTTAGAGAAAGAGTAACCTTCTCCTATTTTAAGTCATACTTTTTTTTCAGTATGATCCTTTGGTTTTTTATTACTTTATAATTATGACTAAAATTAAAAAAAAAATATTTTATCAACTATAATTTCATAAAATATCTTCAGATGATTTTATATAATAATTTTTTGTGAACCAGAATAAAATTTATTTAAATAAGATCATTATTTATAAAAACATATTGAAAATAAGAAAAGAAAATAAATTATTTTAAAATTTCTTAAAAATAATTGACTATTCTAAAAAAAAATAGAACTATTTAAATATACTATTTTTAGAAGAAGATTAAAGACACAGATGGAAAATAATCTCCTTCTATAACAAAAGTCATATGTATTAGAGAAAGAAATATAGGCATACACTTACCAAATGACCAACAATTTATATACAGATCTTTTGTTTTCTTTGTGTATAGTATCATATATATTATTACTACTTTTCCGATTTGGTTTTCTTTACTATGAAGAAAGATTCATGGTTTGTGTTGCGAACACACTCTGCTTCGTTGCTGCTTTACTTCTAGTCTACCAGAAGACCTAGCGATTTCCTCTCTCCTATTTTTAGTTTGACTTCTTCTTCTTAACTTTTTTCATCCCTCGTATGATACTCATCTTAATTAGGTTTATTTAAAGTTTCTCAAAAATAGATAATATATGAACGCAGTGTTGTGTGGGAAAGGGAAATGCAAAGCATCTTCAAACGCAACTTTTAGTATGAATGTGAGTGTGATAATGGCTGGAAGCAGTTTGATCATAACCTCAAGTTTCTTCCTTGAGTTATCCTCAACTGAAACTTCTTTATCTTTAGCACCATGGAGGCTGCTTGGCATTTGAACTCTTTTACTTGAGAATTCAATTTTTTATTCATTTTTTTTTTAATTCAACTCGATTCCTTTTGATATTGGGTTTGGGTACAGTTTTTAATTTCTTTAATTTTCTATGTTTTATTCATGTATAAAGACAAATACTATAGGCTGTTAACGGTCTCTACCAAAGTTTTCACCAACATTTAACAATAATAAAAATTATAAAAGTGAAGAACCAATCTTAAAAAAAACTAGAAAGAGTGTTGAGAAACTAATTAACAACATGTGTTTTTATTCGCCAAATCTTAAGGAACAAATAGAACTAATAAATAATAATGCTGAGAAACTCAATTCATGAATGATCTTAGAACTCCCAACAATATTATACGTATTGAAAATTTACATTATTCAGTTATAAATATATATACACTCTCTTGTTACAAAAAGATTCATATTTTAGAAAAATATTTGTATTTTTCATCAACTTAATAATAACTCTATTTAGACTCTGTAAACCGGACCATAGCTAAGCATCCTGAGAGAATCTGAACCTTAAGGTATACCATCTAGCCTTTAGATTCTTTAAAATTTTAGTTTCTGATTCTTAGTTTCTATTTAGGTTTAGATCATGGTTCCGAATAACGGATTTTTTTGCCAAAAATTCTTTATTATACATATAATCATAAAATTCTTGATATAAGCACCTGCGCATATTTTTTTCTTATTTTTGTAAGTAAATATTTGCTTTGTATAATTAGTGGTATATATTTTTAACAATTACCGAAATAAATAATTATTTAATATGATACATCTAAAACAATAGTTTTATAGTTTCTATTTTATTTTTGAACCGCCAACTATATCATCCAAAATTTTTAACATATGTTTATCGTATTGAATTTGCATTGAAATATTGTTTCTATAAAATATGCATAAAATAATATATTGACATATTAATTTATATTTTATTTCTATATTATATAAATTGACTATTTATATTTTACAGTTTAAATGAATATCTTCATATTTATGAGAATAAAATAGGTTAACCCATATATTATATAATTTTACTATAGTTATATATAGTTTTCACACATTATATCATTTTTTTAATAATTTATATGTTTTATAAAT